TAACTCACACTAACTCACTAACTAACTCACCCAGACGTCAGTGAAGTGAGGTGATTATTTGTAAAACCAACATTATTTGTAGTTTTAGTTATTTTTGATTTTCCTCGTTAGGAAGCAGTATTAGTTTGTTCCTGTTTCTGATTCTAGATTTTGTGGATTTATTGGCTCTTTGAGACGTTTCTGTTTGATCATGATTTCAGTGGAAACCTGCTTTAAATCATGAACTGATGGATGTTTTTCTTCCTCTTGTGAGGTTCAACTATCGAGGTTTCACCTTTTACAAGCTCAGAATATCATTAAAAGTGTAGAATCATGTGGATATTCAGGAAAGTGGCACAACGTCTGCTCTGAACTCTGCAGGTTCAGTTTTTTTCAGTGTGGTTCATTTTAACTGCAGTTCTGTGGAAGCAGAACAACATGAAGACGGAGAAACCTGCAGGTCTCAGAGTTTGTTTTTTACACGATCTGTTTCGAGCCAACGATTTATTGTCGATGGACGTCGTCACAGCGAACGTTCCAGCAGAAACTCAACAATTCTGCTGCTGACAGTGAGTTCTACACCAACATGGACCTTCTGGTTCTATCTGCACACCCAGCAGTTATTGATCCCGATCACCGATCGACTCTTACCGTCTCCGTGGACCTGAAGGAAACATCTGAGGAGGCTGATTGCGAGCAGAAGCGCTGCCATGATGCCGACGGCCGTCACACTGACTGCAGACGCACAAACACACACGTGACACGCAGCGATGACTCACACCCGCTGCAGAACGTCCAGGGAACGTCCAAGGAACGTCCAGGGAGCGTCCAGAGAGCGTCCAGAGAGCGTCCAGAGAGCGTCCAGAGAGCGTCAGAACAGCAGGATTCAGCTCACGTCACGTCAGCACTGCCTGAATTTATCTCATGTCTGTTTCATTTATTCCTCCGCTCTGTTTGTCGCATTTCTGCAGTTCTGTAAAGAGTTAAAGCAGTTTTCAGTTTGCTCTGAACTCTGTCCTCCAGCAGCTTCACAAAACAAGCAGCGACCTCTGAAACCGGACTGTTTATTTCAGGTAAACAAGCATTTCGTCACTCGGATTAATAATTCAAAGTGAACTGAAGCTGCAGATCAACAGAATCTGGTTACGGCTCCATGACTGAACTCATTCATCGGACCGACATTCAGTCTAAACATGTCAAACAGAAAACTCCAGATCATAACGTTCCAGTTTTCACTGAATACTCGGCAACGAATGCTCTTCTTCGTGCTGATAAACAAATGCAGTTCATGGCTGTTTGTGTGTTTCCAACCAGTCACAGAATAAAGTGATGTATCGCTGTAGCTGTGCTGTGTCGCCTGTTTAACCTGTTCAGCTAAATGTGGGTCAGAAAGTTCTGTGTTACGGGTCGGGAGGATGTGGTCTCTGTTCTCCAGGGGTTAGGGTTTCCTCAGAACTGACCCTTTATCAGAAATACTTTATTTATCCCAAAGGGGAAATTCTTCTTCATTACGTGCACGTTTCCACCCAAGAATAAAGATCGAAATAAAACAAGAGTAAAAATAAAAAAGAACAAAAAGATACATAAAAAGTTATCGAAGTACAAAAAATACCTGAATGTTGTTGTTCATCTCGTTTGTGTGCCGCCTCTTGACCGGCTCGTCACTGAAACGTACCTGGTAAGATAAAGGCTAGACAGGTAAGAATCAG